GAGCTCACTCCCTGGGTGGCATGGGCCCCAAGGTCCAGCGGGCCCCGTACCTCCGCCGCCAGCTGGGGACTGCGAGAAGGCGTTTCCTCCTTCCGGCTGAGAGATTCTCTGGGTTCTCTCAGCTTCTAACGCTACCTCTTTTAAGCGAATGCTGAGTTTCCAGGTCCAGTCAAGAGCAGAGCGTTGGCACCGTCGGGGCAGGCGGCCTTCCCCTCACCATCACCACCACCACTGGCAGCTTCACCCAGGCCTCGCTGAGCCCGAGGGAGGCCGGTCTCAGAAGCGGCAACGCTCCCTTCGCTCCAAGTTTGCGCCATCCGTGGGGAGTCCGGGCTCCGATGACTGGCACTGTGCAGAGGGAATTGCTCCTCCTGGGAGGCTGGGACCTGGGACTGGTTGTTCTAAAGGGGGAGGGAGGCTTTTCCTGCTCAGGGACTTTCTGGGGGAAACACTGCAGGGTAAGCGCTAGAACTGGGGTCCTCCCTAGGCTTCCGCTTTTGCCAGGCAGGCACTGCGTCCTGGTGGCCTTGAAGGCCTGGGGCTGGAAGGATCCCACCTGGAAGGAGAGGTGCTCCTCCAAAACCTTGCCCTCCTCAAAGTTCAGGAGGTGAGGAGATCTTAAAGGCAAGGGGGAGTCTACGACGTCCTCCAATTTTCACCGTGTTAGCATCTGGTCATCACAGTGCCAGGTGACTTCCCACAGTCCAAAACTATCCCTACATCCTTGGGTCTTTTGCTGCCTCACTAATGCTTCAAATGCACAAAAATCTAGAGTGAAAGCTTAAGCAAGTGACTCAGGATGTGCCATTTCTCTGCCTACTGGCCAGCGAAGTTTCTTCAGAAGCTATCCTTCCTCCTTAAGCTTCTGCCCTGGTGCAGATGAGGGTGGGGAAGCCTCAAACCCCACCATGAACAGAGCAGCCCCAATTGTCTCTTTCCTCAGTGGTCTAGTCAACCACAGATTCTGAGATGCAATTTGGTTTGGGTGTTTTTCCTTCTCTCTCTTTCTCTTTCTCAATTAGCCAGCTTCAGGTCCTCAGCCGTCGCCATTCCTCCGTGCCATTATCTCCGTGCCCCCCACCCTACTTGCGGTGGGAGAGAGAGGGTTAAGATGTTCTGCAAATGCAGCTCGTAAAGCTGCTTGGATACATTAGAAACACATGAATATCCTGAAATACAAAGTGTCTTTAAAACCAAGGGAGGAATGTTTATCCTAATGCTGGATGGATGCAGAGAAACAGTGCCAGGGAGTAGTGCTGACAGCCTCCTCCAAGTTAAAGTGAGAGCAGGTAAATTTCATTTGCTTGTGAAAATCAAACTCGATTAAAACCTGGTTTCCTTTTGTCCTTTTCTCTTCCAACCCTGAAAGCCCAGGGCTCCATGACCCAGGCTGGCAGCAAATACCAGCGCCCCCCCCCCAAAAAACCCCACAACCAATGTCTCTTTCTTCAGCAGGAGGTTCCAGGGCAGCCAAAGCCCCGCAGGGCACCCTGGTCTGTACTAGGAGGTAAGAAGCCATGCCTGCCAAGGATCTGGCAAGAGAAAGGGTCTGGCAGCGCCTGGAACAAAGGCCAAGCCACCAAGCTGTCGCCCTCTGGTCTTGCCCATGTTGCCCACTCAGAGCCCACCTCTACCCCTGCCACCCTCTTGCTCAAAGGCCGCCGCCGCCCGCAGATCCCAGTGGGTATCCGACTTCATCAGCCTAGCCCACAAAGAGTCTGAAGATAAAATTGCCATCTCCAGGATTCAGGTTGATTGCGCCTCCCTGCAATCCTATAGGAATCCCTGAGCCTGATAGACAAAAAAGCAGAGAGTGGCTCAGAGGGTTAGACCCAACTAGCTGCGCGGGCAAGTGAATCTTGATCCCGCCTTTAGGAAAAGAGGAAAAGCATTGGGAGAGTCTGTGCTTGCTTCCCAGGGCACACTCCAGTTCTTCCCTGCCCTCCAACATTTCTTTTTCCACAGAAAACCAGTTTGGTGGCTGCCTGGAGGGCTAAGAGGCTAAGAAATAGTATTAGGAACCAATAATGAATCTCTTATGTCCCTGGGCAAAGGACAAGAAGGGGTAGAGATTTTCTTGCTTCAAAGTGAGTAGAAATTCTAGAAACAGATCCAAAATTATTCACAGAGCTCATTCAAATTCTAGAAACTATCCCCACTGGTTGGTGGCTACACCTCAGTATCTAACAGGACCTGCAGATTTAAAAACAGTGAAGGCACACCAGGACGCCATTGACTTGCCTGGTAAAAAAATCATTTCATATATATATCGAGATCCAAGACAAAAAAAGGGAACAAGCAGGCTGCCTCTCTCTAAGTAACCATGTCTTGAGAGTGTTCATAAGTTGATAGAAAGAGATGGGGAACGAAGAAAATATCCAAAGTACTTGATCACTAAAGATCCACCACAAAGCTCAATAAATAATTCAGGAGCCGCCAAGTTTCGGGAGCAAAACCTAATTCGAGATGCCACCCAAAGTCTTCCCCCAGCGCCATCCCTCCCAGACAAACCTGCTTGTGGCTTCTCATCTTGTCTCACCATTTTTGGTGAGGAGGGACCCAGTCGACTTTGGCAGTCCGTGGAGCTGGGGCCCTTCCTCTGCGTGCAGGGCTCGGTCTCCGGTGAAGTGGGGAGAGGGAGGGAGGAATGTGGAGCCGGCCTTGGCCGCTATATGCACCAGCAGCTGCGCCATGGCCAGAGGTGGGCTGGCAGAGGCGCCGGCTGGTGGGGGCTTCCTGTGCTGTGTTGTCCTTTTTCTGGGTCTGGCTGGAAAACAGAAGAGGCTCGAAGCCCGGGCCAAGAGAGCAGGGTGGAGGCAGAGAAGAAGAGTCTGTAAACACCGCCCCAAAATCTCCAGGAAGGCAGGGGAAAAAAAAAAAAAAAAAAAAGGCTGGGTAACCAAACAGAGCAAGAAAGAGTAATTCCAAAAGAAAAAGGAGTCAAGAGTGAGAGAAGGGAGGTGAGCAGTGGGCCCTGCCGCAGCTGCCTGACTCTCCAGGCTTGCAAGGCTGTTCTCACACGGGCTAGACTGCAACTTTCAACTTGACCTTGGCCTCTAGCCGCGTCTGACCCGTATGTAAAACAGCCCTCAAGTCCTCAGGAACTGGGGCCTCGAACCCTATCCTGTCTCTTTGTCACTGTGAGTTTTACAATGCCACTTGGAGGAAGGAAGGGGGGCGAATGGGGCCGGAAAGTAACACAAAAATCAAGTCCCTACAAAAGGCTAGTTCCTTAGTCTGCAAATGGCCATTCAAGGAGGAGGTAAACTGGAGGCAGATCAATATTTACCCGGAGCTACTAAAAAGGCAGGAGGGAAAGGGCACACTGTGTATATGTATATTGGGAGGGGGGTGTCATAGAAGGTTTTATTGGGCAACACTTACATTGGTCCCAGCAAACCCGGGGGATCAAGGCAGATAAAAGCCGGAGCCCAGCCTCATTGGTCTGGACTCCGCAGGAAAACCAGGAGCCTTAGAGAGCAGATCAGGCCAGGGAATAGGGGCTGGAGGTATTTGCAACGCTCTGAGCTTCTGGCTGAGTCTGCAAGCTAGGACGGGAGGGAAGGTCCACGCTTGGATGCTCATCAATCCACCTGGGATGAAAGGAGTCCAGCGCTCTCCCCAAACCTGATGTTCCTGTAGAATACACCCACTTTCACTTTGAACGTATGTTCCCCTTCTGGGTATCTGACCAGCTCACAGCCTCCACAATCCGAAATGGAAATATGTAACCCCAAAGCAACAGGACCCCCAGAATCCCTCACCAAAACATGGTGGCTGCTTGCCTCTTTCAGCACCAACATCCCACCGTGTTCTCAGGAAAGGGTCTGTATTTCCCAGATACAGAGGAAAGGCTTCTCCAGCTGGTTCTTGGACAGAGGAGGATTGGGCACCCTCAGCAGGCTGGAGACAGTGCTCTCCCCAGTCCTGCTTGGGGGGAAGGCATGAAGTGGTCCCATTGAGCCCCCTTCTCCCGTCCCAAAATGGAGTGAAATGGGGAGTGCCCGGGTGCCTGAAGAATGAGCTCCTGCCCAAGATCTATGAAACCTCATTAGGCCCCAGAAAGGGAACTCAAGTCCCAACCAGCACCCGGGGCTGTCCCTTTTAAACTTCCAGGACATGACAGCCTGGCTGGGGATGTAGGAGCACCAGAGAATACTGCACACAGATTGCTCCAAAGTCTCTGGAGGAGGAAGGGTTGTTATCGGGGCAGAGTGTGGAACAGTCTCTATACCTAAGGGTGAGTGTGTGATCAAAGTACACTTGAATGTGTGTGCGTGTGTCAGTGTGGGTGTGAGGGAGTCGTTCTGACACCCTGTGGGCCTAAGTGCAAGTGTATGAAATTGCCCGCCAACACTGTAGACAGGAAAGCGGAGAGAGCTCCTAAACACAGTCCAAGTGTCCCAGTGGAATGTCCTGGGACCCCTGAGCCCGGCGCATCCGTAAATGCCCCGTCGCGGTTCCCCTGGAAGGAGCCAAATCTTGACGCTCTTGAAGCCGAAAGCGCTAGAGTCCACGCTAGGGTCCCACTGCAGAAAGACTCGCGGATACCTGGAAAGAAACCAGCTTCAAAGGCCCCAAGAAACACCCAGCCTGGACTACGCCCCGTTTTCGGTACTATCCCATCCCCAACCGCCCGCAGATTTACCTGACCCACTCCCACTGCTTCAGGTCTCAACGCAACAGCGCGCCTCCGTCCCCTCCCCGCCTAACTCTGCTCTGGGCCCCACTGGGACAGAAGAAGGGAAGGGGAGCTGCGAGGAGGCCGCCCTTCTTTCCCTACCCTACCCGCCCAGTCCTCCGCCCCCACTCGTCCGCGTCCCCCACCTCTCCCCTGGGTGAATGGTTCGCGGCCGCGCGGCGGGCGCTGGCGCTGGGGACGGCGCGGGCGGCGGCGGGGACCGCGGGTGCACAGCGCAGAGCCTGGGTTGGAGCCGCCCGCTTTGCATACGCCGTGGGCGGAGCGGGGGGGGCGGGCCAATGGGCGGCCGCCTGGCGCGACCCCGCGGGGCGCGATCCGCCCCCCTCGCTCGGGCCCCGGCCCCGCGCCGCGCGCTCTTCACTTCTTGGGGGCTTTTTAAAACAGCGCCACTGGGGTCTTCTCCATGCGGCTCGGGCTATGACAGCCTCCGTGCTCCTCCACCCCCGCTGGATCGAGCCCACCGTCATGTTTCTCTACGACAACGGCGGTGGCTTGGTGGCCGACGAACTCAACAAGAACATGGAAGGGGCGGCGGCGGCGGCGGCAGCGGCGGCGGCGGCGGCGGCGGCCGGGGCCGGGGGCGGGGGCTTCCCCCACCCGGCGGCCGCGGCCGCGGGGGGCAACTTCTCGGTGGCGGCGGCGGCCGCAGCGGCGGCGGCGGCCGCAGCCAACCAGTGCCGCAACCTGATGGCGCATCCGGCGCCCCTGGCGCCCGGCGCCGCGGCCGCCTACAACAGCGCGCCCGGGGAGGCGCCCCCGTCGGCCGCCGCCGCCGCCGCCGCCGCCGCCGCCGCCGCTGCAGCGGCCGCGGCGGCGTCGTCCTCAGGAGGGCCCGGCCCCGCGGGCCCGGCGGGCGCCGAGGCAGCCAAGCAGTGCAGTCCCTGCTCGGCGGCGGCGCAGAGCTCGTCGGGGCCCGCGGCGCTGCCCTACGGCTATTTCGGCAGCGGCTACTACCCGTGCGCCCGCATGGGCCCGCACCCCAACGCCATCAAGTCGTGCGCGCAGCCCGCCTCGGCCGCCGCGGCTGCCGCCGCCTTCGCGGACAAGTACATGGATACCGCCGGCCCGGCGGCCGAGGAGTTCAGCTCCCGCGCTAAGGAGTTCGCCTTCTACCACCAGGGCTACGCGCCCGGGCCTTACCACCACCATCAGCCCGTGCCTGGCTACCTGGATATGCCGGTGGTGCCCGGCCTCGGGGGCCCCGGCGAGTCGCGCCACGAGCCCCTGGGTCTTCCCATGGAAAGCTACCAGCCCTGGGCGCTGCCCAACGGCTGGAACGGCCAAATGTACTGCCCCAAAGAGCAGGCGCAGCCTCCCCACCTCTGGAAGTCCACTCTGCCCGGTAAATGGCGTCCCCTTCTCAACCCCGGTCCTCCGGCTCTGCTCCAGCTTCTCTGCCGCTCGCTCCCGGGTCACCCTCCTGGCCCTCTGCTCTCCCCCGCTGGCCTGTCCCGGGGGCGCTGCACCCCGGGGCGCCCGACCCCGGCTGGCTGGCGCGGCCCGCACTGCCCTTGAGTTGGGCTGGCTCCTCGCTCTTCCTGGGTGAGGGATGGCTGGGAAGAAGCTTGTGAGGACCCTGGCTGGCTCCCTTCTCCCTCTGCGCCCCGCCCTCCCCAGCCCTTGACATCGACTTAAGGATGGAAAATTGACCTGGAAACGGTTTCCCAAACTGCCCGTATTCGATCTCTCTCTCAAAAAAAAAAAAAATGGCTTCAGTGTAGAAGCATCAAGTGTTGGGGCTTGGGGTATACAGAGAGGAGTCAGGCATAGCAGAGTTGTCCCCTGAGCCTGGCGCTAAGGTGTGGGCCGCTGGGCCAGGCGATCAAGAGAACCCAGGGTGCTGTGCGGACAACGTGGCCCGGTTGGGGTGGTCATTGGGGCCCTAGGCGATTTCATTTCGGTGCAGAACTAACCACCCTCCCCACCGACCCTCCAGGTTGTAGCAGAAGGCTGGATTGTGCAATGCGTGGCAAAGGGCAGCTGGGCGCTGCAAGGGGGGTGGCTCAGATAGAGCTGTCGCCTGTGTCTTAGCCTGGGTGTGATCCCTGTGTAACTTGCCTTCTTCCCTATCTTCCAGACGTGGTCTCTCATCCCTCAGACGCCGGCTCCTACAGGCGGGGGAGAAAGAAGCGCGTCCCTTACACCAAGGTGCAATTAAAAGAACTCGAGCGGGAATATGCTACAAACAAATTCATTACCAAGGACAAACGGAGGCGGATATCAGCCACGACAAATCTCTCTGAGCGGCAGGTTACAATCTGGTTCCAGAATAGGAGGGTCAAAGAGAAAAAAGTCATCAACAAACTGAAGACCACTAGTTAATGGATTAAAAATGGAGCGAGAGGGCAACTTGAAGAAATGCTTCAGAACTGGTTGCTTTGCCCAGATAATGAACATAATGCTTAATAATAATAATTGAAGAATGGGAAAGAGAAAGAGAAAGACACTGGCATTTTGCTTTCCTAAGGGGGATCTCTTTCTCCTTGGTGGAATCTACAACTCTTTTAAAACTTTAAGAAAAGGTAAAGACTTCCAGTCCTCCCGCCAACCCCACCAGACCGTTAAATGACAAACTCTAGAGTCAAACGTCAACCCCCAAATATGCAATTTCAGATAAGTTACACATTTACTGAAATCTTGTAAGTATTTATGTGACCATAATATTTCAGGATACTGTGTTATATGGTAATAATCCAAAAGTTGGTTACAAAAGCAAGAGGCTGTTGTAAACATCTGTTTGTCCTTGGGTCGCCATTGCCATCCCCTCTGCATGTTAAGTGACTGCTCAGGTAAATCTTAGTGAAATTCCTACCATTGTTGTATATTCTGCAAAACATCTTATGTATAGATTTAGAAAGGGAGAGAGAAGAAGGTACTGAAATAATGATCTTGGGCAATTTACAATGAAGAAAGAGAGAGAAAGCTTTTCCAAGGATCATTTGTCTTGGTAGTAAATACAACCAGCTGAGCCTTTGAGGCTACAAGGAAACCCCAGGTTGGGAATGTCCTTCTGACAATAATTTTAAATTGCTTATAACAAACATATTTTGTGGCATTTGGATTACATTTTCTGCTTGATATAATTTACTTTCCAAAGAATTTAATAATTTTTAAAAAATATTTAAAGCATCAGATGTTTCATAGAATTCCCTTTATCAGATCTCCTGAGAGGTCCACCCCGACATGGTGAACTTTGGTTTGAAGAGAATTCATGTTTCATTTAAATTGGTATTTCCAAATATTTACTAAACATTTTGCTAGAGAGTAATTTTGCTTTTTTATTTTTTAGAAAACTCAGAGCGGAAATCCATTCCCCCCGAAACATTTAGATGTTTACATTCTATATTTTGATCTATTAGGGATTAGTATTTTTTCCTTGTTTATTGTGTTATAAGACTGCATAAGGAAGTTTAGGGATTCATCTTTATAGCACATTTTTAATCAAGCAGTTATTTCAACCAGCACATTCATTTTGTTCACATTCACTATAAAATGCTATCTTGTAAATAAAGACATTCAGCACACTGTGAAAATGTATTTGTGCACCTGCTTTTCAAACATTTCTACTAAAAATAATAATTAAAAAGAACCTTAGACCTGTAGATAGTGATATAGAAGTATTAATTATGGTAATAAAATAGTCACTGCCATTAAAATCTGAAGGAAATACTCATTATTTTCCAAGCTAAATGTGCACTGCACAGAAAGAAAAGGAGCGGGTTTGTCCTATACAAATTATTCTATTATTATTCAGCCTTTTTTTTTTTCACTACAAATTTTTTAAATAAAAGGAGAAATCCCTCATAACTAAAATCTTAAAATTTGGATAAATGCTTCAGGAGAGTTAAAGTGTTAAGCATTCTGAAAAGGAGAAAGAAGAAAGGAGGAAGGGATAGTATAAATTCCCAGGCTCACTGTGGAAAATGAAAACCAGTTGTTTAGTATCAGTGATGCCCGGGCTGTAGTATTTTAAAATCTGCTATTGGATCTGCATGTGTCTGAAAGGGCAGGTTTTGATATTTGTTGAAATGACAGGACTAGGAAAGGCCTTAAACCTTGACCTTGACGAAAAAAGACAATTTGTGACCTTGACTTTTGACAGCTCATGAATTGGCCTCGGCTGGATTAGTAGATCAAGGGCGCCACCTCGCGTTGACAAGCTTCCTTGTAATTCTTCAGCTTCAAGGGAATCAAAAGGTCTTACCTCCTTGACTCCTTGTTTTAGAGATTTAGTACTCATTTCTTTGGCTCCAGATGGAACAAATTTGAATATATGTAAGTTATACATGTGCCTGTATATATGTGAATATATATTATATATGTGTATACATGTATACTTTGCATATTGGTGCTCGTGTGTGCTTGTATATATATTTGTAGAATCTGTACAGATATAGGATCACTAATTACTGATGATCCAAGATGTTGTAATTTAAGGTGATTTCTAGAGTTGAGGTACAAAATGTACTTTACATGATGAAGTTTTGCTCCTTTTCTTTAATGGCCAAGTTTGATTTGTCTTCACAGTCCTTGTTCTGCCTCAGATTTCTGCAGATCTGCTTTAAAGCTGTACATTTTTGTTACAGTCTAAAGGTGTTCTTAAATAACCATTCTTTCCTGGCCCTCACCCTCCAAGGTGGTCTACCATCCTAATTAGAGCTATAGGGGAGTCTATACGGCAAATAAAAAGTTTCAGATGCCTTGCTAACTCTAGAGTTCTAGAGTTACATTTCAGAAATTCAAAGAAACTCACCTCTTAAGAGGTCAGTATGGAGAGCTTAAAGATCTCATAGCTACAAAATGACCATAATATGGATGCAGAAGGAGAGTTATCCTGGATAGCTCAGAGCCGAGTGCTGCTCCTGGGTGGTGCGTGCAATCTTATACTGGAGCTTGTGAGGCTGCCATTTGATTTGTGGAAGAAATAGATAAAGATAGTATTAACAGTCACCATCAAAACTATAATAAATATTATATCTACTACTTACTGACCCCCAACAACACATCAGTTGCTGTGTTTAGAGTCATAAATAATACATATGTACGTTTTATATTTAATATACACATAGGGTAATGTGTTTTTGTCAAATCCATGCTATGCATGTATATATATGTTGGTGGAACCAGGAGCCTTAGGATGCAGAATTTTGAGATGAGGTCAATTTTATCTTTATGTTAGAGGAAAGTAATTGTGAATCAAAAAACCATATTTATCGGTTTATGGAAAGAAATACTGGTTGGTTAGAAACCTGGCTGACGGAAACCTCCCCGACCTGAAGACTTAGAGCTTCTTTATAGGTGGAGAATTACAGAATCTCTAAAGCTGTCTCAGAAACAGCATGGTCTTGAAAACATACATATGGAATGGTCTTGTGAAGTGCAATCCAATTTTGCTGTCCTGAAAGTGGATTTTCACTCCACTTGTGGAAACAAATGAAAATGATGCTTCAGATCAAGCTCCCCACATCGTGTGCCCCAGCACTCCCTTTCTAAATGAGCTGCCATCAAGCCAAAGTAACAACTTTCTCCCCAAATGTTTAAAGTGGTGGAAAATCCCCTCAAAGCTGGGTCATACTGTGTGTTTACGGAACAGCTCCAAAGGGGACTCTTCTGTTGACGGGGGATATTTTTCTTTAGATGTAAGAAATATTCTGAGCTTCAGGCCTAGGAAGGAGGCCAACAGCAGCTCTGCAGCCGGAATACCGCCCCTTCCACAACCCATCGCAGGAACTCTGGGTAAAGTAGTAGTTTTCTTTTCTTTTCTTTTCTTTTTTTTTCCCCCCTCTCTTCAATTTTTGAAACTAATGACAGAAGACGTGTCAGGGTTTTTTTGTGGGTTTCCCCCCCCCCGTTCTAAAATGGTAGTTGATAATGGCGATCTTACCGAACTCCCCTCTTATTTAAAATTCCCATGGATCTACCAGATAACCTGAGGCAAGCATGGATTATGAGGGCTCCCTAATGCCCAAATAGCAATTAGCCTAAACCTTTAGAAAAAAAGATATCCAGGAGGACTCCAGCCACCATATAAGAATAATAACACCGGACACCAGGATAGTGTTGTTGAATAGCTTATTCAATTTTTTTTTTCCTAAAAGGGAAACCTTTTCTGAACAAGACATTGTAAATATGGAAACAGCTAGACACCGTTTTCATCTACTAAATTTGCAAAGATTTTTAATCCTGTAGTGGCCTACCATTTTAAAAATTGTAAATGTGGGACTTTAAAAAAAAAAAAACACTTTTCCCATATGCTCTTAATTCTGTCAAATTTATTAAGGTATTTGAAGTGGATGATTGTAAAATGTCACTTTGCATTTAACTACTATTTATGCCTGATGCAGAACTGAAGCCATCCGCTTAAATTGTTAAAAAAAAAAAAAAAGAAAGAAAGAAAGAAACGATGATTTTTAAAGAAAGGGAGGGAAGAAAATTATTCTTTTTTTAAAAAACTTAACCTAATTGAAGTGTTTTCTTAAAAATTCACGAGGCAGTGAAATTCAGCTGAGGGTGATACGCATGTGTGCGGGTAGTCCGTGACACAGATTTCACCGTATAATATATGTGCAGATTACACCCCGCTGCGTGGGCTTGGAGGACTCGGTGAAGATGCGGCGTCTCGCTTCCTCTCTACGAATTCCGGAGATTCGGAGCGGAGACGATCGCTGTCCCGGACTGCTAAGCCCCAGACCTGGTGGGCTGAGAGGCGCCCTTCCGGATTTGCGGACCTCTACGCGAGAGACGCTAGGGGCTTCCTGATTTATGCGCATTCCTTTAAAGTTGATCGAATGCGTGTCAGCAGCCCAAGACCCGGAGAATCAGAGAAATGTGCAGCGAGTAGCTCACATCCCATTTTTCATAAGCAGTGATGTAGCGTTATCCAAGCGGTCTGGGGAGATTTATGCCTAGGTTTTAGGACCCGCACACAATAATTAAGTTTTCAACTGCTAGGCCGCCGGGTAAATAACAGCCGGCCTCACTCTTTATGAAAACACCCGCTTTCTGATCGGCTGCTTCGACCCTCGCCCATCTACCTAGCGCCGCCGAATGCCTGCGAGGTGTTCGCTATTTTTGATTTGATTTTAAAGGGAAGAGAAAAGACGCCGGCACGGAAAAATCCCTCCACCGAAGCAGCTAAGGCCTTGTCACAGCTGACTTCATTTTTCCCCGGCTCCGTCGCGCCGCTGAAGGCTGGATGCCCCGGGCAGAAAGCATTACAACGGCCTCTCCGAGACGCTCGACCCTTCGCGGGCGGCGGTGCGCGGCGCGGGGCTCGCCCCGAGTGCGGGGCCGTGGACGAGCAGGAGAAGCGCGGCTGCGGACTCCGAGCGCCTGCTCCCCGGGGGGCAGAGGCGAGGCTCGAAATCCTCCGTGCTTCTAAAGGAACCCTCTACTCAAAATGGAGGCTCAAACCCTTCCAGAGCCGGCCTCGCTCGGAAGGCTTGCGTGTGGAAGGAGGAGCGCCGCAGAGCGCTTGGCCGAGGTCAAGGCGCCGGACCCCCAGGCCCGCGCCAGGCGGACTCTGGAGGGCCCGGCCGGGCACCCGCGCCGCGGAGTCGCCCCGCAGCTGCAGGCTGACGTCACGGTCGCCCGAGAGCGGGCCTTCGCGGGCCTCTCTAGGCGTTGATGAGGACAAGCCGATTCAAACGAATGTTTTGTGCGGGTGCCCGCTTCTCCGCCCCGCCCCGCCCTCCCCAAGAGAATAATCGGGTATTTAATCTCTCCCGGTCTTAATTCTTGGCAGCGTGGAAGGTGGTTTGCACGGGAAATAAAACTTGACAGGAGCATTTTCTCCAAAAGGGGTTCTGAGACGGGCTGAAAAGAAACCGTGTTTTTGTTTTTCTCTACCAAATACTTCCGCTTTCTGAACCCCGGGCCGAGGGGTGGGGTGACATCCGAGGGAGCAGAGAGCGAGCTGGGCACGCAGGACAACGCGGTGCACCCGAATCGGGGCGCTCCGGGCAGCCCCGGGTCTCCGCCTGGGCCTGGGCCGGGAAGCAGCCTCGGGCCTCGCTGCGCCCAGCGCTCTGCGGCTCGGCTCGGCTCGGCCCGGCCATAGGCCCGGCGCCGCCCGCAACCCGACGCCAGGACCCCGCTCCCGGGAAGCTGGCACCCAAAGTAATACCCTGGCATTGGCTACGGGCGGCTGGGCTCAAATGAGAGAAGGAGGCGCTGGGGAGGGTCTTGGACCGCTTGGCTTTCGCCCTGAGCCTTTTAGCCAAGGGGAGTTGGGGACCAGAGCACTGCTGGGGGCTTTGTTTCGGCTGCGGGTCTGCAGCTATTGCACAAAATGGAGGGGGGCGAGGGGGCGAGGGGGTGAGCGGCGAAGCTTGCGTGGGTTGTCTGGGCTGCTATTGGGTGGGAGAAGCTGGAGACAGCAGAATCCCCCTCCCGGCAGCTCAGAGAGCGCCCTCCCCTCGCGCCGCAAAGGTCAAGTCCTCCGCACCGTGGCTGCCTTCGCGGTCAGGACCGCGGCGGACGCAGGAAGCCGCAGGACCCACACTTGGCCGGCTGCATGCAGGTTCTGATAGCCCGGGCTCTCCGACTGGAGGCGGCGGTCCTTTCCTGGCTTCCAACTTTGTCGCTCCAGCCCGACTGAAAAGGAGTTCCCGCAGCCAGGGTTGGCCCAGGCTATGTCCCCGTCGAGTCCTGGAAGAGCGGGTCCAGGAGACTTCGGAGCCCGAGGAGGCCTAGCCCCGAAGAGAGGCAGAGCCTGCAAGCTCAGGAGAGCGGATGTGGCTGGATCGGAGCTCTGGGCTCCGGCAGAAACAAGGGACCCACAGGGCCTGTGGGCCAGCAGGGCCAGGAATAGGTTAGGGGAGCAAGGACCCTGCTGCGAACCTCTCTTAAGGTCCTTGAGTCCAGGTACGCTCTTTCAAGTGCAAGCTGATGCTTTGTGCACTTTGATGCTCTTCTTCTCCTGCCTAAAATCTGGGCCAAGAAGTGAGGTGCACTCTGCCAAAGGTAAAAATCCCTGACTCCGGGGGGGGCCCCCCAAACCCATTCACTGTGTTCTGGCGGCATGGGAGCCCCTGCCCTCTGCCCAAAGCTTGCCTGCAGCAGGTCACACATCAGATGCAATGATAAACAAATAATTTTCATGAGGTCTGCCCTGAGCTTATTGCCCCAGGTGAATCAAAGAGGCCCTGCAAAGGATTTCATCTTTTTTTTTTTCCACAAAAGACACAAAAGCTGGGTTTTATCCCTAGAACTGCATGGGTGAGCAGGGCCTTGAGGGGACACTAGCTGGAGGAATTGTGCATGGATAGGTGCCATCACAGAACTGCCTGGAAGGGCATGAAGGGGAGACTCCTAGGGCAGGGTTGGGATGGGCATGGGCTAGCTCTTTTCAAGTACGGAATGTGAACCATGGATCGCTGCTCGAGTAGAAACAGAGGAGCCTGGGGAACTGCCCTAAGAGGCAGCTGGAGCTTGGGGCATGGAGGCTTCCTGCGAGCCACAGCTGAGGGCCAGGGCTGCCCTTCTGGTTGGGCCGCCCCCTTTCGTCCTCTTTATTGCAGATACCCTCGGCTGGAGAAACCCGTTTGAGCCGAAGTTTCAGGGAGAATGGACAGCAGACGCCGAGAACCAGGGCTTTGTCCTTTAAAGTTTCCCATACTCCATTTGTTCCCATTTGATAAGGGGGGGGAATTTTTTTTTATAATGAATCTACAATAATAAAAATAAAAATAGTTCTTCTCAAAGGAAGTAACTCTCTCCCATCAGTTTGGGACCCACTAAACTAAATATAACCAGATCGCTTGGGTGTCTAAAACCCTCAACTGAGCCCTATGCCCCACTCTTCAGTGGCCAGGGGGAGGATGTGGACTTCTTCAGATGTTTAGGGGCCTTGGAGGATTGAATCTGTGAGTCAGATGAGAACCAACCGTAAGGCCAAGTTCAAGGCATTACCTGTTCCTGTGCTATAGGGAAGTGTAGAGGAGCTTCTGGACAGGAGGGTGCCTTGCCAAGCCAAGGGGATAATGAGCTAACCCCTGCCTCCACCTAGTAGTGAAGAGAGAGTCTCCTAATATTTCATTGTAGCCTCAGGGCCACGTCTGGACAGCGCCTGGAAATGTGATAGACTGGCCATGATCTGCCGATAGACTGTTCCCTGAGAACAAATACTGGAGATGTCTTGGCCTCTCACAAACAACCCGTTACCCAGAATCACCATGGAGGACAGATGCACCTCCAGACACCCCCCACCTGGAAGGAGACAGCCCCCAAATAAAAGCCTGGCCTCCAACCCTAGGAAAGACTCTGTGGCTGTTTTTACCTTGGGCCACCAGTTGCCTTTTGCACCTGTGTGCAGTATGGTCACTGGGGTTGAAATAGTCTTCAATGGAGCTTTCTAGAAATAGGTGTGACATTTAGGGACCGAGGTTGCTAGGGGCTCAGTCCAACAAGAATAGGGAAAAAAAAATTGGTGCCCTAAGTGATCCATAGATAAATGACTATAGATCTTTGCAAATGAGTTTTGGTTTGTCCAGTGAGCCTGAGCGCTCCCAGGCTGGCTGCCATCCAGGAGCTAGGTCCCAAGAAGAGAAGAACGGAGTACTGGGGAGAGAGGGGAGAGAGAAAAAGGACATGGTAGAGCCTTGGGATGGAGTGTTCAGAAGAATGAGGTAAGAGATCGAGTTCAGACCCCTGGTGGAGGCCTAAACTGGCAGGGGGGGGGGCGTCCAGGAACCTAACAGTCCTCCTTCTCTGTGCTTGAGGACTGGGTGCCCTCAGTTCTTGCTCAGCCTAGGAGGGGTATCAGAAAAGGCAGGAGGCTGCAGAAGGGGAGACTCTGCTGGAAAGAGGAGGACAGGGAGACAGGTGAGCAGGGGCTGCCAGGAGACAGGATCAGCTAAGGAGGGAATGTGGTGAGCGCGCAGCCTGGTATTGGCATTCACACTACTGACTACATGCAGAGCAGTCAAGAGGCTGCAAGTGCAGGCATTGGGGACTTCAGATTCTCAGAGTTGGGGGTCAATGAGCCGGTCCCAGTGCCCGAGCTGGCACCAAAGAGAAAAGAGAGCAGCCCAGCAGCAGTGCCACATGGGGTTGGGAACCCAGAGTCTGGAGTTACTCCCTGCCCACTGCTCTGTTTCTCCCTTGGAGTGAGCAGGTGTTAAGCTGCCTATCAAGTGACAGTCCTTTCAGCTCATGGCCCTCAAATGACTGTGCTGGAAACGCCCCCAGCATGACAACCCCCGGTGGAAAAGCTTCACGTCGCCCTGGTGCGCACCGACTGCACCAAGGCTACCCGGCCTGGGCACCGCCGGTAGGCACCCTTCGGCTACAAGAAGAAGTAGAGGCGGCAGTGCTGGGCAGAGGCACCTGGACGCAATTTATTCCAGTATCTTGCCTGGGAAGGTGGGTGGGGCGCAGGACGCAGGAATCATCCCCACCAGGGCCCACTCAGCCGCAGCAAGGAGGATCCGGGAGGTACTGCCGAACCCCTCAAACTCCCCCTCCCCCATTTAGGGCCAAATCAAACGGAGCCTTGCGAAGGCTTGGTCTGCTTTGCTGAGCAAATCGCCTCGTTAGCCGTTTCCACTTGACAGGGCGGGCTCGGGACCCATCCTTCTCCTCTCCGGGTGGCCGTCTCCAAACGCTGCTTGGGGAGCGAAAGGGCCCGGCCCTGCGAGGGCTGCCTAGACCTTGAAGTTTGGAAAAACAACAAGAAGAGATTGAAAAGGCTCCCTCCCTTCTCCACGGACACACACGAACCGTCAGGCCGCCGCCACTTCCTGCCTTTGTTTTTCTTCCTCCAGAACATTTTTGGCCTTTTGCATTAGCTGCCGTGGGGTTCTGGGTTGAGGATAAAAGGAAATACATGCGGGAGACTGTTTTCTGGAGATGGCCCCGCGCTGTGGAGCTCCGGAGAAAGGACAGTTCATGGGCAACCAGCTGCCAGGGCCAATGTCCTAGCCTTGCCCACTCAATCTCTTCAAGAAATACAACTCGGATGTGGCTTTCCAGGGTGGCCTTAGCACCCGTCAGGTCTTCCCTGAGCCGGGTGGGCTCCCTTCAGATGTTGGGCCTCCTGCAAAGCGGAAGAGTCAGTTAGGCTCAGAGCAAAGTCAAAACCGAGGAGCTGCAGTTCTGCCTCCCCGGCTTCCCCAGATTTGATCTGATCCTCAGATCTGTGACCACCCCCAACTACACACCCCCCATGCAAACCTTCACTCTGCCAGTGTATTCCGGGCAAGAGGGCCAGGAGCGGACAAAGCTGGGAACAGTGCGAAGCCTTGGGGATCGGAGCACCCCCTCCTGTCTCTGCTGGGGGAGTAAAAGCATTCGCCACTCCAGGCGTTTTCTCTTCTCCTGCCATCAAAAGCCTTTCCCTTCATCCATCTTCACCGCAGCACCCCCACACACCCTCTTCCAGGCTGCGTGCCCCTCCTGGCACCCCGCATTGGTACAGCCTTCTGAACTGCCCTGCCGACCGCTTTGGGACAGCCTTCCTCCAGCCTAGCCTTTCCTCAGAAATTTGTCTTTGTCTCCTGCAGACACCCATGGGATCCAGACTTGCTGGCACCCTCTCGGCTTGGCTCTCAAGGACATGGGAGGCATTGATCATGCAGAACAGCATATACCCCCATACTGACCTTTCTGCCGGGACCCCCTCTCCCTGGCACCTAGGGGAAAACCGATCTAGTTAGGAGAGGGGCTGCGTGCAGCTGGGGGAGGCAGCTTGGCGTCCCCCCGCGGGCGGGCCACCGCAGCCGGTCTGCTCAGGCACAAGCTGAAGTTGACTGCCAAAACTGCTATAAAACCCCAGGTCTGTCTAGAACTGTTTTCGGTTCTCCTAGATGCCCCCGGGTTCAATTATAGTCTTAAAAGCCCTAATACAAGTGCAAGAATTTGTTTGCCTTCACCCAGGGGCGGGGCAAGCCCCGAAATGGTGGCGCCTTTGTTATGGCAAAGTCACTGAAACCCCTCAAGCATTCCTTTTGTTCGAGGGTCGGGGTGGCGGGGACTGGGTGGGCTGCCGGGAGATAGTTTGGGAGAGCCAAAATCAAGCCAGGGAACAGCTCAGATACTACTGTTCGCAAACCTCTCCCTCTCCCTTTTATATTCTGTCTCCAAGAAAGAGATGCTGTGGAGAAATAAATATTTTGCCTTGTTGGTCACTGCTGGAAATCGAAGTTTTTTCGCTGCAGGGCAATCCCGTAACTGTGATTCCCAGCTTTAGGAGGTCTCAGGCTGCCCTTCCCCAGCAACCTTCTTCCCCACCAGACCTTCTCACCCACACCGCTGATGCCCTCTGCACAAGCCACAGTGGACAAATAGGTCAAGCTGAAGATGCACAAATAATTTTAAGTTCAACTCTCAGGGATTCAAGGGATATGAAAGTTCTTGAAGCAAATCCTGAATAAAGAGTTCATTAAACCAATGTGCCCGAGTAGTTTGATTTGTGATAAGAAACCCTTGTAAAGGAAGGGGGTAGGAGCCACATAAACATTAATGCTAATAAATTAGTTTACTCCACTGCAGAGTAATTACTTGATATTATTGATATTTACAGCGGGTATTCAAACGCAATGGTGGGCCATCATTTGGAGAAAATACATAATGAGAATAGTTCTTTTCCAGTGCAATACATGATTAGATTTGTTATTGAGTCAGTTACAGTCAGCTCAGCAATAAATAAATAAATCGATGTTGACACTTAAATACCAAAGATCTTAGAGTTTATACTCTAAATCTCCCCAAGATATATAAATACCTTCAGCTATTTCCTGGATGGGGAAAGGGAAAAGGTTATCCTTTTTCATTTTTCGACTTTCCTTCAGCGACATCCAGCTCCTTCCAAGAAGATAGGTGTGGGGAGGCCTCTGGGCCCCTCCCAGTCGCCGGTCCTGCTTAGCTGCTCTATGCCCTCTTCTTTCACTTCTCCCAAACGTTGATCATCCAATCCTGCAGGATGGCAAGCCCTTTTCACCATCTTAATTTTTTTCTTTCCTTTTCCCAAGAAAGCTAGTCTACCAGCAGCTATGACCCCTGTCTCTATCTTTGGCTCAAACCTAGCCTTTTCAGGGCGTTCTCGTCATCCACAGTGCCAGGAGTTGGGGAAGCATGGCTCTTTTCTTTAGCATTATGTTCCTTCTGTGGGATGAGTAGCAGAAAAGGCGCCCAGCCTTCTGAGTTTCTTTCTGCTTGCACATCACTGGCTCTCGCGCTTTGCAAGGAAGGAGAGGAGGCGGGTTACCCCTTTCTCAGCCACAGCTCCCTGGCCCTAGCCTCCTTCCTTCTCACTGCCCTCACTCTCCTTCAACTCTGCAGCTCTGCTGGCGGCCTGGTGGGCCCCCGGAAGGTGCAGCATACCCAGGAAAGGCTCCTCGGATGTCAGCGCCTCTAAGCAGCCCAAGGCTCGCCTCAACTGCGTGGTTTCCCGAGTCCTCAGCTCCAGAAGACCAGGCGGGCGTGCACAGTGGCGCAGCCCCCACGCGTCTGGCTCCGCTGAGTGACTCCGACCCCCGGCAGGCAGCGAGGAGGAAGGGGTTTCTTCAAGGGCAAGGGGTGGAGTGAGGAGGCCGGCGGGGAGGATGAAGTGGAGGTGGATCCCGGGTAAGACGAAGGCCCTTCCGGGACCTGCAGATGCCTGACAAACCGCGGGGGAAGCCGCCCTGGTTGTTGGCGGTTTAGGGACGGAAGGCACTAAAGCGCTTCGGAAGTGACCATGAATGCGAGCGTGTAATCAAGTCACCGTGCAAATCGGGCAAGCCACGAGGCAGGCACATCCACGGCTGCGAACCCTGGCCCCGAAGGGGTCCGGCCAGAGTCGGAGACAGAGGTGGTTCCCAGAGCAAGCTTGTGGGAGGGGGATAGCGAAGGAGGTGCGAGCGCGAGCCTGCAGGAGAATAGATTCCAGGACCGCGCACCGGCCACTCAGCGACGAGCTCCCACCCGGCCACCCCCAGCCTGGGGCATCCCTCACCCGGGGAGTGATGGGTGGCAGGAGTTGAGCTCTCTCACCGCCCTCGGCGCACTTGAGGGCCAGGACCGTGCCGCTGAGCACAAGCGAGTGGCATGGGGCGCACCTCAGCCTCGCCGCGCACCGGGAGGCCCCCCAGCCAACATGAGTTACACCGGCGATTACGTGCTTTCGGTGAGAACACCGAGTGACGATCTGTTGCTTCCCCTGAGGTGGCTACAAAGAAAGGAAGCCGGGGAGGGGGGGTGGGGGGGAAGGAAAGGAAAAAAAAAAAAAAAAAAAAAAAAAGCCCGGACCAGCTTGCAGCTTGTCAATTTCAACATCGGGTCACATGACCAGCACCTCCCTGCTAAGGATGGGGATAGATTTCCACGTCAGCTTACGTCTCCAAATTTCTACTTCACGGATCCGCTTCAAAGAGGCAGCTGCAGTGGAGAATCATGTTAAGCTCGGCTACTGCGGAGAGCCCAAGGTAGCCCAATGATGGATTTTGATGAGCGTGGTCCCTGCTCCTCTAACATGTATTTGCCAAGTTGTACTTACTACGTCTCGGGTCCAGATTTCTCCAGCCTCCCTTCTTTTCTGCCCCAGACCCCGTCTTCGCGCCCAATGACATACTCCTACTCTTCCAACCTGCCCCAGGTCCAACCCGTACGCGAAGTGACCTTCAGAGAGTACGCCATTGAGCCCGCCACTAAATGGCACCCCCGCGGCAATCTGGCTCACTGCTACTCCGCGGAGGAGCTCGTGCACAGAGACTGCCTGCAGGCGCCCAGCGCGGCCGGCGTGCCTGGCGACGTGCTGGCCAAGAGCTCGGCCAACGTCTACCACCACCCCACCCCCGCCGTCTCGTCCAATTTCTATAGCACCGTGGGCAGGAACGGCGTCCTGCCACAGGCTTTCGACCAGTTTTTCGAGACGGCCTACGGCACCCCAGAAAACCTCGCCTCCTCCGACTACCCCGGGGACAAGAGCGCCGAGAAGGGGCCCCCAGCGGCCGCAGCGACCTCCGCGGCGGCGGCGGCGGCGGCGGCGGCAGCGGCCACGGGCACGGGCACGCCCGCAACTTCAAGTTCGGACGGTGGCGGCGGCGGCTGCCGGGAGGCGGCGGCGGCGGCGGCGGCGGCGGAGGAGGAGAAGGAGCGGCGACGGCGCCCGGAGAGCAGTAGCAGCCCTGAGTCGTCTTCCGGCCACACTGAGGACAAGGCCGGCGGCTCCAGTACGTATAAAGGCAGCGCCCTGCGCTTTATGAAAGGGGAGTTGGAAATCTAGCGCAGCACCGCTGTTAAATTTTTATATGCTGTTTTATAAGCATATAAGGTTTATGAAGGGCCTTTAGGTTTCCCCCAACAAAACTTTGTTATAAAAGGCGGGATCACGTGGCGAGTGCTGAAATTGGCCGTGAAATACCCACCGGCCAAGGCATGCCTGCAAAAAAAAAAAAAAAAAAAAAAAAAATCAAAAAAAAAAAAAAAAAACCACACACACAACTCCCTTTTTCCCTTTTTTCCCTTCTCAGTCCCAAGCCCAGCAGCTCGACCCTGCTCGGGGCCAGCTCGGGCTGGGGAGCCGGAGGTGGGCGCCTGTAAATTCCCCCTGCAAGGGCTCCGGGAGCCTTTGATAGCGAGGTAATCCGGAGATTTTTATAAAAGCCATGTGTTGCGCCGGGACTCCAGTCCCGGCCGGGATTCAAAGGCGTCGCTGTTTAACGATGGCGCTAGGAGCGTGTTTAACGGATAAAATAGCCCGCTTAGCTCGAGCAATATATTAAAAGAAACAAATTAAGCCAAAGCTGGCCTTTTTATCCAAAGGAAGCCATTTTCCTCTGGCGCGGTGGCAATTACGTGCCGCCTTCTGTCCCACTGCATGTTACTCACAATTGTTATTCATTCTGTCAAAAGCGGTTTTTTTTTTCCTCTCGGTCCTGTGAAGTTTTATTGAAAAGGGGGGCAAGTCGAGCCTGCCCGCAGCTTTAGGAAACCCCTCTTCCCTCCACGCTATCTAAAACAGCACCCCTGGCCAGCCGGGTGTTGGGGGGGGGCGGGATGGCTGTGTGGCCTTGGTGCTCAGGGAGGGCCCGTGGTAGGGGGCTTCCGCTGCCACCTCCTCAGCTCGCGGAAGCCAGGAGGCTGGTCAAGGAGGCAGGAGCTGGTGGCCAGGACTCAGGCTGACAAAGACCCGGCAGCGGCCTCAGATGCTAACGAGGGCCAAGTCACGGCCGCAGCCGGGAAAGGCTGGGCCTGGGGTCGACTGTACTGCCTCGGGAACCGGGAACCGGCCGCCCAGGTGCTGGAAGGTGAAATGTCCGCGGGCGGTTGTTTGTTTAGTCTGGCCGGGCTGGAGGCAGCCGGCGACCCCCTCTCGGCGGCTTTAAAAGCCGCTTCTGAGGCCCCAGCCTGCCCGCCTGTTGCTGAAGGAGCCCTCCTTTCTGCTCTGGGGGCAGTGTGAGCAGCTTCCCTGGGGGCCTATCTAGGGAGCTGGCTTTTATCTGGGGCTGAGTCTCCGCCTGCAGCCTGTCCCCAGCGGGCAGTAGGAGACTGAAGGCAGGGGACGGAGGGGACCCTGATGGGGCTAGGACAGGGCCTCCAGTCCCATGGGCCAGCCCTTTTCCTCCACTCGGGGTTCTGGGATGGATTGCAGCCCCCACACCTGGCTCATTCCCTGCTTCTTTCTCCCTCCACAGGTGGCCAACGCACCAGAAAAAAGCGTTGCCCCTACACCAAGTACCAGATCCGGGAGCTGGAGCGGGAGTTCTTCTTCAGTGTGTACATCAACAAAGAAAAGCGCCTGCAGTTGTCTCGCATGCTCAACCTCACCGACCGTCAAGTCAAAATCTGGTTTCAGAACAGGAGAATGAAGGAAAAAAAAATTAACAGAGACCGTTTACAGTACTACTCGGCCAACCCGCTCCTCTAAGGCTCCAGCCAGCTGGAATTGGGTGGGGGGCTTGATACACGTGAGATTATATGCAGATTTTGCCCTTGACAAGGTCAAGGCACGTGGTGACTTTTGAAGAAAAGAGATGTGCAAAAGAGGGGAGGCTACACGGAGACAGCCTCTAAGAAGGCGGCCCGGGACTCTCTTGGGCATCTGTGGTTAAGATTCCTAACAAAAATTGGATTTGGAGAGTTGTGCATCAACTAGAATGAATGGTTTGGGACCCCTGGTGGTTCATTCTTGGAGACTGTGGAGCTTTGGGCTGGGTGTGGTCTGCATCAGGACTGGGCCTCCTGCCAAGCGCCCTGGAGACCGACCTGGGCCCAGGACCCTCCACATGGAGCCTGCCCATCCCCAGGACCCCTGCGCCAAGAAGCTATTCAATCTTTAAACCCAGTTCAGCTTGGGGACAGGAGCAGGAGGAAGGGGTGAGGATTCCTAGATGTCTGGAGTGGGGCTGCTTTCCAAAGCCAATGTGAAAGACGGCTGGACTAAGAGGTGGCTATGAGGTGGGAGAGGGCTGCTGATCCTTGAGGGGGGAAAAATCAATTCCAGGTGGCATTAGGGGCTCTCCACCCCTCCTAGCCACTCACCGCACTGTCCGAGGCCAAAGCTTCTAGCAGTAGCCTCCTGCAGCCCACCTAGTTTTTCCTACCGATGAGGGCCTTCTTCCTGGACTGCCACTCAGGCCTAAAGCCTGGTCGCAGAGCAGACCTTTCCCGCTAGCCCCAAGATCTCTGCAGGAAATGCCTGTGGAGTGCGGCAGCCTAGCTAAGTCTCCACCACACTTAAGTGAAGCTTGGGTTTGTTCAGCGGAACAGTGGGCCTGGCCAGCGGTCCCCAGCTATGAGGGGCTTGAGTCCCCAAAACACCCAATCTGGCACCGCACTCTGCCCTTTGCGCCCCAGAACTGAGCTTGGAAGCTTCCAGCAACCTTCCAAGAACTCAAGAGCGTTTGGAATTATTTTAAAAAAATAAATATTATATTATATTATATATATTTCCCTGCAGGAACCAAAGCGAATTTTAAAAGATGCAACGTAAAGAGGGAAAAAGATGATGAAGAGAATATTTAAAGGCTCTATCTGTTTACAGTGTTCCACGGTTAAACTCACTCACTGCTAAAGAATATTTGAATGTACGCTTCATACAGGGATGGTGTTCAAAAGACTTGTAAATAAAAGAACCATAACCTATTTTGTTTGAATACTTTCTAAATTTTGCCATTAGTTGATTTCCTTGGGGTGTTGGAGGGGCGGGAAGGGTGTTAGGAATGATCTTTTTAATTTCTTGCAATGTCTGGAAAACATTAGGGGGATGCTCTGAAGTAGTTTGGCCCTCCAGGGTCTGGAGACCTGAGCTGAGAAAGTCAGGCACCCTCCCACTGAATCTCCTCTGCCTCCCTGTTTTAAGAAGTGTCTGGTGACTCTGTTTGTAACGGGAGTGTTGGCCTGTCCTCCGTTCTCACCCACCACGTATGTCGCAGCATGTACACAGGCGACAGGGCACAAGGAAAATAAAGACTGGAAACTTGAGTACTGGGTTCTGGTGTGACTTTCCTCTTCCTGTTTGCCTTTTACTGCCAAATGTCT